GAGTACCATATAGAGTTTTATGATTATAACCATTACCAATTTATCCTTTATGTTATTTTAGGATATAACATTAATTATTTAAATGATTGGCTCACATTGGACCTCACAATTATCACAAATTAATCAGTTCTTGTTTGATTAATATATATATATATGAACTCGATCATTTGAGATCACCAAAAATCATGAAATTCAATGAGATCTATTCTAATCCATACATTTCGCCTAATAAATTTGATTTTTTAATTAGTCCTAAAATCTTAATTTAGTAATGCAATTATCAATGACAACCTATCAACCCATTTTTTTTTAGAAAAGTCAATATCATGCATAACATGAATATACTAATACAATAAGGATTCAAATAATAAACATACAGAAATTACATTTTGAACACACTAAGACAATAAGATCTATATTATTAGGTGTATCTACACATTGTGAACCAGACGTATCACAATATGCACACCAACTAAATGTATATATAGACTTAATGTTATTATAACATTGTACATGTTGGTGTTTATTGTGCACGTTATATGAAGATATTTTATTTTTCAGCAGAGAAAGAAGAGATAATATAGAAAAGATGAGAGAGAAATCACAAACAATCTACAATTAAAAAGTAAATATGACATTTGACTTAATAATTCAAATTAGGAAACTAATCAAATTCGAAAATCTCTCACTTTTTGTCTTTTATATTTTAAAATTCTAATAAATATAAAAAATAATTATTTTAATTAAAGTAAATTTTAATAAACTATATCTATACTATATTATAAAGTATTTGACAAAAATTCTTAAAAACCATTTTTTATGTATGAAGTACTGTTTATTGATGCATATTACTTAAAATTCAAGATTACAAGTGATTTTGCATAGGTACGTACAACTTATTAAAGCTTCACTTTTAAATTTGTGTAACTAACTGTAGATAAACATAATCAAATGCAGGATAAACATCTATTTTAAATATAAAAATCTAAAATATAATTATATTGTAAAACTAAAAATAAATTACTTTGTTATTAAGATAATCATTGAGTTCTAATTATTATCTTTATAAAGAATTATATTATTAAACTAAAAATAAATTACTTTGTTATTAAATTATAATAAAAAATTGAATTAAAGAAGTTACATCAAAAAATGAAAACTATTAAATAGTTAATTTGATAATAATATCGATTTATTTTTTTCAAATTTATATTTCATTAAAAAATAAAAATATTATCGTTTTCTCAAAACCACATAAAATCGTATTATATCGATAAAGACAAAGAATAAAAACTAAACATGAAAATTGAGATTTATCTCGCTGCATTGCACGAGTACCCTTCTAGTCAATAAAATACACATTTGATTCTTTTTAATTTGACATCGAAATTATTGCAAGTTTTATTGTATTACAATATTTCTTGGTTCGATATATAAAAATCAAAGAAAGATCAAATAAAACAAAAGGTCGTGTATTTTGCAAACTAGTATCGTATATGAAACCATATGTTATAGTTGCTAAAATAACATGCAACAAAAAATAATGACATTTCATGTAATAATATTGAACCAATAAAGAACATTTATAATTCCTTGTGCGACCATTCTTTAATTTTAATATATGAAGCCAAGGTATCTATACTATATTATAAAGCATTTGGCTAAAACTCTTAAAAACTCTTAAACTCTTAAACTCGTTCATCCCTAAACAATTTCATCCCTATCTGATTTCATCCCATAACTGAATTTGTGTAACTAACTGCAGATAAACACAATCAAATACATGATAAACATCTCATTTTAAATATAAAAAATCTAAAATATAATTAGGATAATCATTGAGTAATAACAAAATACTTAATTATTATCTTTATAAAATGTTATATTATTAAAAATTATTTCATTATTAAACTTAAATTAAATTAAAAAAAATAATCTATTTATATTATAAAGCATTTGACAAAAACTTTTAAAAACTACTTTTTATATGTAAAGTACTGTTTATTAATGCATATTACTTAAACTCAAGATTACAAGTAGATTGTGCGTAAGTACAACTTATTAAAGCTCCATATC